TGTGTGTGTGTGTGTGTCTGACCTACAGTCACTGATGGAGCTGCTCCGTCACAGGGTTATTTCAAGTTCAGGAAGTTTACTATTTTTTAGAATCATCCATAGCACAGCCTCACTGGCTGCTGTTTTTAGAAAACCTCTGCACCTCCTCGGGTTCAAAGAGAGTTCAATACCCTGTGAGGCTGTTTAGACTCATAAAACTTACTCAGTTTACTTCTTGAATAGGTCGAGCTCACAACAAAGTCAGACGAGTAATCGGGGAATTTGTTTTGCAATTTTGACTTCTGTGACTTATTCCAATATCTGTTTTACACATTCGATCAACATATTATACCTTTCTGTAACCCTGAAGAGGTTTTCTAACCACACCAGAAGAAGAAATGGAGATATCATACTCCGAGGAGGCATGACAAAGCTTTTAGTGTTCTTTGTGCCAAAAATTCTGCCTGAATGTGATAATCTCGGACAGGTCACCTTGTAATCTGGGACACTTGTATTAGGCTTTACACAGAGATTAAATCACCTTGCTTTATCCATTCAAAGCTCAATATTACCACTTTTTTAAAAGCATTATGCTTTTCCATTTAATAATATCCATTTTAAACATTCTATTAAAGGTGTATCACATTTTTATAAATCAATTAAAATTCAATCACCAGCAAGCAACAATAACTAATAATTAATCATTCAGTAATTCACCATTCTAACAAAGAGGTGAGAGACTCATCATCGATCAGCCCATTGTCTTCTCCAAATGTTTGATGAATCAATGGCTGCAGACCACAGGACAGACCCTTCAGTGCAGTTTGGATCATCTCTTTCCTAGAGTGATGAGAACTGATTGTGGACTAAGGACAGATTGTATTTACCATTAACTCCTGTCTGACAACTTCAGATCATATGCTGACATTTCCATTGTTAACATGACCTAGTAAAGATTATTTGCAAACATAATTTTTATTCCATATTGTTTGTCATATGTAAAATGTATGTAAAGATAAAACATGTTAAGGACCCCAATAAATCCACGGTCCACAAAGTGA